CCTCCTCCTCCTCTCAACCTCCTCCTCCTCCTCCTCCTCCTCTCAACCTCCTCCTCCTCTCAACCTCCTCCTCCTCCTCCTCCTCCTCTCAACCTCCTCCTCTCCTCCTCCTCCTCTCAACCTCCTCCTCCTCCTCAGGGATCTTTTCAGTGTCTCCATCCAGACTCCAAACAGAAGACTCGCTGTCAGTCTTGTCTTCCTTGTCGTTTCTACCACCTGATTGGTCAGATCTGTAATCGCAGCACTGAAGCTCTGGTCAAAGGTCAGACTCCTTCACTCCATCACACACCATGACGGTGAATATACACAGAAATAAATCTCTCGGTCTTATTTGTCTTTTCTTTCCAGCCACCAAATCATCTCTGGACGCCCTGAGGAGGAGACTACATGTTGTTAAATACCAGTCGTCCTCCTCCTCCTCTTCCTCCTCCAGCAGCCACTCTGCTCCTCCTCCTCTCCTCAGAGCTTCCATCCAGCTCGCCATCCCCAACATTGTCCTCCGACCCAGTCTGGACGACATCCAGGTCCGTCTGCTCTGTGACCTTCGACCTCTGAACCCTGTAGAACATTTACACTGAACTGGTTTCATGGTTTCCTGTGTGTTTCAGACCACAGTGAATAAGCTGGTGAACGTGGTTCTGTCCGTGACCAGAGACATTCCTCTGTGGACGTTCTGTCACATGCAGTACAAGCAGCAGCAGGTAGATGCTCACCTCACACACCTGTCAGTACACAACCAATCACATCCCAGCATCTCTCTCTCTCCGTATCGAGCAGGTGGAGCAGGCGGCGGCTCGCGACGCTGGAGACGACATCACGGTGAAGCCGCCAGTGCTGAGGCCTCTGGACAGACAGCTGGCCGAACATAAAGACGTCACCAAGTCAGTCCAACAAGACACCGATGATTTAACTGGAGATTGATCTTCATCATGAAGTGTTTAGATTTCTCTGCTCTGTCATTGGCTGACACACGAGTCACAAACCTGCTGCAACTGTTTGGCAGCGAAGTTTTTCATGTTTACTTTGTGTTCAACGCGATGAACCAGAACTAGAAACTAAAACCTCTGGCAAGTCTTATGTGATTCATCGCAAATAATTTATGATCCCAGACTGTAAATAAAGATCAAGCTCTCTCCACCAATCCGGAGTCAGTCTGAGCTGTCAGTCTGAGCTGTCAATCATCACGTCTCCGCCTGTTTTTATATCATCAAACACAAACCGCTCAGTGAGATCCGAACGAGCTGAAATGACAGAAACCATCTTTGACAAACATTTATTTAACATCTACTTTTTAGTTTGGTCCATGTCCCATCTGCTAACATGGAGGAGGTTTATGACATATACTGCAGTCAGACACCAGGGGGCGATGGATGATTTGGCTTCACTTTCATGAGCCGTCATGTTGTGTGTGTTTGTTTACAGTCTGTAGTTACAACATGTATCTGGTTGATTTTGCAGGTTGGTGATGCAGCTCAGCTCCGTGGTGTCGTCTCTGAGAACTCAGGCTGCTGAGACGCTGAGTGAACTCACCCACTTCTCCACTCTGTGGAACCAGGTGTGTGTGTGTGTGTGTGTGTGTGTG